GATTCGGAGGCTGATGAGGGAGGATGGCTTGATCCTGGGAGTTGAAGGCCAGCCTGGGCACATAGCAAGACCCCTTCAGTTAAAAAAAAAAAAAAAAAGGTGGGTGCTGTAGCTCAGTGGTAGAGCGCCTGCCTTACATGTATGGGGCACTGGGTTCGATCCTCAGCCCCACATAAAAATAAATAAATAAAGATATTGTGTCCAACTACAACTAGTAATAATAATAATAATAATAATAATAAAAGGTGGAAGGGAGTACTTCACTCTTCAGCAACTAGCTGATAACTAGGATCCCTTGAAGTTTTCCAAGGGTTCTGTCAAATCTACACTATGAAATAAAAACAGGTGAAAACGTCGATGGGTGGTTTTCCAGCCATGCAGGCTCTATACTTGGCATCCAAAGCTGCGGTATCAAGTTGGATGTGGCCAACACTGTCCACCTCAAGATCCAAACTTTCTGCCTGAATCCTCTCCCTCTATGGAAAACTCAGATGAGGAAGAGAAGTAAGAAGTTTGTTACTGGGAAATCAAAGGTTCTGGCACTGGTTCCACTGAAACTTTAAGAAAATAAATTTATGCAAAGCCAGCTTTTAGGGAGGTAGAAGAAAAAAAAAATGTTTTATCTCAAATATCCAACTTCAGGGGCTCAGTAAACAGCCTTTATGAAAGAAGGGGTACCATGGACAAAAAGCAGGAAATGAATGTATGTAGAATCAGGTAGATTTGGCTAGGCTGTGACAGTCAGAAACATGTTACAGTTAGTTTTCTTGGCACCACTGGTCCAGGGGGTAGCTTTTAGGTTTTTATTCTCAATAAGAGAGGAAACTGTAGATGCTGAAAGTAGTTGTCAGGAAATTGCTTTTAATTTTAAAGAGGCTTCGTTTCAATTATCATTAACAAGAAATGAATTTAGTACTTTATTACCCAACAGTATTACCCAGAAGATTTGCTGATGAACTTTCTTTGCATGGCATAGAATGTTAAGATAAATTCTTGTTCATCTACTTAGATGGTCAAAATTGCCTTCAAGGATCTCTTAAAAATGACCTTCTGTTGAATTAGTTGACCTTCTGTTGAATTTCCAGAGGCTAAAAAAAAAAGAAAAAAATAATAACTAGAGAATAAATCTACAAATAATGTTTTCATGTAAATTTCTACTCATAGTAACTAGCAGGATCTGAAGACTGACTGGGTTAAGCATGGTGCTTAGCAAGTAGATTGTGTTATCTGCTTCATCTGCACCTAGAGGATGGATCTGTTATTACCTCCATTCTGCAGATGAGGACAATGAAATGTAGCAAGGTGGAGCCAGGGTCAAGCCCAGGCCAGAAATACAACACCTGTCCTTTATTGCCTAGTAATCCGTTAACCTCTTGCACTTTAAGTCTAGTTTCATATGGTCTAAAGTTTTTAAATGAGTTTTTATTGTGATAAAATATACATAACACAAAATTTTCCATTTTAACAATTGTTTAATTTTTTAAAGATTTTTTTTTTAGTTTTAGATGAACACACAGTATGTTTATTTATTTTTGTGTGGTGCTGAGGATCGAACCCAGTGCCTCACATATGTGAGGCGAGAGCTTTACCACCCAGCTACAGCCCCAGCCCTGTTTTAACAATTTTAAAGTGTACATTTCACAGAGTTCAGCTATCACCCAAACTTTCTTCTCGCGCAAATAGCAACTTTGCACCGGTTAATAACTCCTCATCCTTCCTCCCCTGTCATGAGCAAGATATGCCTTTAACACAGACCAAACACTTTTTTTTTTCTACAGTGTCAAAATTTATTGAATAACAATAAATTCATGGGTTATGTCACTTTCTTTATATATATATCTTTATTTTTTATTTTTATGTGGTGTTGAGGATCGAACCCAGTGCCCCGCGCATGCCAGGTGAGCGAGCCACCGCTTGAGCCACATCCCCAGCCCAGGGGTTATGTCACTTTTATTGGTTGCAGTTATGCTCATGAGCCACCTGGTAGTCATGGGTTGTTCAATCACAAGTTGTTTTATTCAATTCCAATCTTAATTTCTAATACCTGTAACAATCAAGTCACACATCATACTCCACACAGAGATGTATATGTAGGTAACAGAAAGACCAAGAAAGCCTTAAGGCAGTCGCAGGGTTATAGATGCTGTGTCAAGAGCAAAGGCAGAGAACAGATACCAACATGAAGATGAGAGTTTTAACAAACCAGTTCTGCATGGTTGTCAAGGCAATGTTTCAAATGGGTGGCAGTAGTGTCAGCTTGAGGTGCCAGCTTGAAGGGGGCTCTGCGTCATTCTCAGGAGGAAGAGAAACCAGCTAAGCTGGAGTCCAGGACAGAGAATGGGAGGGTTGCAGTTTTCCTGGGCAAGTTTTTTTGGGTGTGTGGGAGACTCTCCCATGAAGTTAAGTTTCCATCACGCGAGAAGATCACATAATCCCTTACCCCTCCCCTTCCTCTCCGAAGGGCGCCAGATTCAAAGGTTTTCTGGACCAATTTCCGCTGGACACAGTTTCCACTCACCATTCCTGAGTCACCCTCCCAATCAGCACCCGCCACGTCACCTACGCAACCCGTCTTAAACCCAGGCTTGCAAGCTCATGCTCTCTGCCCTCTTCACTCTTTCTCTCTGCTCTCTTCCTCTTCTTTCTCTCCTCTCTCTCTACTCTCTTTCTCTTACTCTCTGCCCTCCTCCCCTCCTCTCTCTGCCCTCTGCCTCTCCTTTTCTTCCCCTTCGGGCAGCCTCCCAGTAAAATCTCTTGGTTGCATCTCTGTCTCAGGTGAGTCACTCGCCTTTCAAGGTTCATGACTACTGACCAGGTGACAGGGTCAGGGTGCCACCATATTCAGTCTTGGGGAACTCCTCCTTTTGAGTCTTAGGTGAGGGGGTTATGTCTGGTGGGATTGATAATTTCCTGTGTCTAAGGTTTCTGATATATTTTAGGATGCCCATGTGTCCAGGTGCTCCTGATTTAGTTTGATAAATTGGCACGAATAAGTTGTTTATCAACTTGTGCCTTATAGTTGTTCTGGAGAGATGGTGGTTATTCCCTTGCACAAGACGTTGAGCCATTCCACCTTGACACTTCCATGCAGAAGGGAGTAACTCATGGAAAACTACTGATTTACAAATGGAGTAACTCAGGGCTAGACACAGCCTGAAAACTATTGTTCTGCACATCATGGAGTAACTCGGAGCAGGCCTAGCCTGCTTTCCACACCCCCAACCCTTGGTAACTTGTAATCTACTTTCTCTCTCTGCTAATTTGCCTACTCTAGGTACTGATGTAAGTAGAATTACACATTTGTCCTTTTGTGAAATGGCTTATTTTCACATAGCACAAAATCATCAGAGTTTATATTATAATAGCCTTCCTTTTTTTTGGCAGGGGGCTGGGGGTACCAGGGATTGGACTGAGAGGCACTCAACCACTGAGTCACATCCTCAGCCCTATTTTGAATTTTATTTAGAGACAGGTCTCACTGAGTTGATTAGCACCTTGCTTTTGCTGAAGCTGACTTTGAACTTGTTATCCTCCTGCTTCAGCCTCCGGACCTGCTGGGATTACAGGTGTGTGCCACCGTGCCTGGCAATAGCATTCCTTTTTATAACTGTAAATATCCTATTGTATGGCTATGCCACATTTGTTTACCCATTCATCTGTTGAAGGACAGAGGTGGAGTCTACATTTTGGCTGTATAATGGTGGCGACATGGCTCCCCAGCCACTGAGCCACACAGCCCACAGATCTCTTCCAAGAAGCAGTAGTGTAGTGGTGGAGATGTGGCCAAGGTGGCTGGAGCATGGGCAGTGCCCACTGGCCCTGGGTGTTAGGATCTCTCTTGCTAGCATGCAGCTGGGGCACAGTGAGGCAGGGACAATGCAAGCCAGGACGTGCTGACTTGTCATCTGGCCCAGCCAGACACCCGTTTCACATAATGACGCAACCTGCAACTCCTGAGCATCACAATCTGCCAACATCAACCTCTTGGGAAGCTGGAATTGCAGGCAGAATGGCAAGAAAACAGAAGTGGGGCAGACCTGAATGGAAATTCACTCAAGGTTTAACCAGCAGTGTTAGTACATTTTCAAAACCTGATTAGCGTAAATGTGGACCAATAGCATTGACTCAAGTGCTATATAAAGCCCTAGCCTAGCACACTTTGAGTTGGTAACTCCTTCTGGTCCCCTCTCACCGTGGATCCCACCTCATCTTTCGAGAGCTCTGTCTCTTCCCACATGAATAAATCCTACTCTTTTGTAGTCACTCTTCTCATCCGTGGATTTCATTTGTTGAATTTATGACACAAGGACCCAAAAAGAAGAAAATGGTGGTGAGCTTCTGGGGTCTACTGCAAAACTGGAGGGCGTAGTTTGCCTTAAAGAGCTACAACACACCACCTGATGGTAGAGGAGCAGAATCCACTTTTGCTGACTGACCCTCAGTGATGCTGGGCCAGCACCCCCTGCCTTTTTTAGCTGCTAACATTAAAATAGGCTTAGACCCCTCCCAACAGTAGAATGGAGAAATTCTAGTTTCATAGCAATGAGCATTGGCTTGCAAGTTCCAGTTTTAGTCCTTGCTTTTAGTTCTTTTGGGTATATGTGTCGGTGTGGTCACTATAACCATTGTAAAGTGAGCAGTTCGATGGTATTTAGTGCATTCACAATATTGGGCAACTCATAACCACTCTTTAGTTCCAGAATCTTTTCCTCACCCCTGAAGAAAACCCTGACTCATTAAGCAGTCATCTTCACTTCCCTTCTCAACCATAGCAGCCACTAACCCACTTTCTGTCTCTATAGCTTTGCCTGTTGGAACATTTCATATAAATGGAGTTGTACCATATGTGGATTTATGAATATTCTTTAAAAAAGTTTTTATTATAGAAATTCCCAACTTGTACAAAAATAAAATTTGATAGTTGGCCTCCAGATATTCATCACAGTTTAGTTGTGATCAACCTCTTACTAGTCTTATTAACTAAAGTCTTTTTTTATCAGGGAAGAAAAGAAGTATGTGAACCGATTCTGGAAAGAAATCCGTGTGGGAGACTTCGTGCGTCTTCGCTGCAATGAGATCATTCCTGCAGACATTCTGCTGCTCTCCTCCAGTGACCCCGATGGGCTGTGTCACATCGAGACTGCCAACCTGGATGGAGAGACCAACCTGAAGCGACGGCAAGTGGTCCGTGGCTTCTCAGAGCTTGTAAGTGACTCATGTTTCCAGGACATCACAGGCATCTGGGCCATACAGTTTCTCCCATGTGGCCCCTCTGGAGGGGTCAGGGCATCTGCATTTTCTCTTCTGTCAGGCTAGGCTTATTTTCATATAGATGAAACTGAGAGTCTGAGAGAACTCTTGCCTGCTTGATCCCATGATCAGCCTGTGAATTTGGGGAGCAGGACTTACTTTTTCTACCTCTAATTTCCATTGGACACTTATGAGTTTCTCACAATGTTATTTAGAGACCCTGTAAAGTTACAGGGAACATTTACTGAGCCATGGTGCTGTTCATCAGATGGCAGTGTAGCAGAAGCCATGGCCTGTTCCCAGCATGTAGCTCAGGAACATTTTCTCTCTAGGGGAGTTTCTAAGATCAGCACCATGTCTTCCACAGTTGAGTTTTGTCTCAGGTATGTACCAGCCACTGTGCAGCAGGGTTGGGGGGTGAAGAGTTGGAAGGGAAGTAGTTTTGACCATGCACTCACAATAAAGTCTATTGGCCAAGAAAAGCAAATTCCACCAGGGGGTTCTTAACTTTCTGTCCATGCCCCGTTCCAGGTCTATACAGGGGACACACAGTGCTAACACTAGGTGAAATTAAAGTGATATGAATCCTTGGAGATCAGGAGGTGTCTAGCAGGAAAACATGCTCTGCAAAGGCTCCTCCTCCTCCTAACCCTGTCCTGTCCTGGATTGCTCATCTGAGGCATGCCTTGGGGATCTGGCCATTGGCCTACCCTGAAGGATGCTTTCAGAAGTGGTCCAAGGAAATGAGTTCCTGCATGTACAGGGAGGATGATGTTGGGGATTTTCTTTCTCTGTCACCAGAGACCTCTCCATGATCTCAGAGGGGGGTCTAGTAGGGAGTTCTTCTTGGCCTTAGAATCAGAATCCTCTGGGCTTATCTGGAGCAATTGGCTTCATTTCGTAGTTAATGGATCTTGAGAAGGGCATTTTGTGTGGAACAGTTCATTGGGCATAATTTTAGGGGGATGCCTCCTGCCCAGAAACATTTGTACAATTCCCCCTTGGTCACTCTTGTAAGTGAAGGACCTGTATACATTTCCAAAAGGCCAAATAGGTCCCTGTTTCCTGTAGGCTTCACACCTTGCCTTGGCAAGTGGGAGGTCTTGAGCCAGAGGTTAGACCACTCCAAGTGCATCACCTCATGACAAGCCTGTAGCTTATTGTTCTACTCTTGCTTATTTCTACCATGGTTTCCTTATTTGTGGCAGATCTACCACAAATATTTCTTGGAATAAGGCAAAGCAGACATAAAAATAAAAAATTAGCCAGACTCAGTGGCATACATGTATAATCCAAGCTACTTGGGAGTCTGAGGGAGGAGAATGGAATTTCCAGACCAGTCTGGGCAACATAACCAGACCCTAATCTAAAAAAAATTAAAATAAAAATAAAAAAAAAATTATTTAGATGGAGTGTTTCATCCCATCCCAGATCAGGAGAGCTGATGAGTGTTTTGTTAGGGACCCCTCCAGGCTGTTTCCAGCTTGTGCTGTTCTGGTTTATTAATAGATGTGCCATCCCTAGGTGCCAGCTCTTGTCTTAGTAAATTGTGGGAATAAGTCAACCTCACTCCCTGGCTTCTCCACCAGGCCTCCTCGATTTCCCTGAGCCTAAAGTCCCTGCCTCCTCTCCAAGTGACAAGTCAGTAGGTGAATGAACACTGAAATCTGCCAGGGGACAGGGTCCCCTCTCAGTTCTCATGATCTCACTGGGAGTTTTGAGGAAGAGGAGGGCTGCAGAGGCTCAAATGTCCCCCTCCTAGAGGAGTCTCCCACGTGCAGAAGATGACATCACTGAAAGGAATACACACAAATATCTAATTGGTAAAACTGCAGACAGTGGGAAAAGGATGGTGAAATCCAAGAGCTGGGAGCAGACTGTTCATGCTGGGGTGGAGGGCAGGGGAAAGCCACAGGCAGATCTCCTCGGTCACTCTCAAGAATAACTTCCTTGTGTCATATCCTCTAGTCTTCAACTTCTGAACCCTGTCCTATTCAAAAGCCTCCCTGCTCACTTATTTCCCAAACAACCGCAGCACTTTATAGTTCAGTGGTGCTTTATATAAACAGGTTGTTTGTAAGTAGAATGTTTAAAATTCAAGGAAGGCTGCAGACCAGCACATCCTACATCACCCTCCTCAGGGCCCTGTAAAGGCCTGAGGATGTGAATAGAGTGAGCTGTAATTTAGTCAATCTAGCCAAAATTAACTGAAATAATTTTGACTTTTTAATAAAAGTCTCTTTAAGAGCACCAAAATTCTTCAATGGGCAGGTTCCCTTATTGGTACATTGTTTTTCTTTCTGCTTCCTCCCTGCTGTTTTTCTTTCCCTTCAGGTTCAAATACATTTTTCCCCCCCTGGTACCAAAATTCCTGTTTATATATTATTCTTCTGAAATTTATGAACTACCCATGGAAAATAAAGACAGTGAGTCTCTAGCTTTTAAAAGCTCAACAAATGAAAAACTGAGCTTCTCATTGCAACATTAAAATGCCAAAAACATGCAAGTGAGTTTTTCATTAGACTTTGCTAGTCTCAGACAGGTGAAGAACTGATAACTGTGCTGACTTCTGTCAAATGCAAAGTAGTATTTTATCAGTTTGATGATGAATGGCCAATTGGAAGTGGTGAATTCTAGGAAAATTTAAAAGAGATTTATATCTCTTTAAGAATAATAGGTAAATGTGGTATTAATGCAGGGGCTGGGTATATCCATCAGGGTTCAGTCATGGGACAGAAATCACACAATTCAACCAGGGGAAGTTTGATGTAAAGGATTTTTTTTTTTTAGGTGTTGGGGAATACTGGGGATCAAACCCAGGGCTGCTCAATCACTGAGCCACACCCCTCCAGCCCGTTTTAATATTTTTAATTAGAGGTTCTCTCTGAGTTGTTAAGGCTTGCTACAAACTTGCAATCCTCCTACCTCAGCCTTCCAAACTGCTGGGATTACAGGCATGAGACATTGCATCTGGCAAGAATTTTTTAAAATGTTTTAAAATTCTTTTATACATGACAGCAGAATGTATTTTGATGTATTATACATATGTGGAGTATAACTTCTTGTTCTTGTGGTTGTACATGATGTGGAGTTACACGGGTTGTGTATTCATAAATGAATATAGGACACTTATGTCTGATTTATTTTACTATCTTTCCTATTCCCATCCCCCCTTCGTTTCCCTTTGTCTAATCCAGTGAATTTCTATTCCCTGCAGTGTCCCTCATGCCCCCCTTGTTGTGTGTTAGTATCCACACGTCAGAGACAACATATGGCCTTTGGTTTTTTGGTATTGACATTTCACTTAGCACGATAGTCTCCAGTTCCATCCATTTACCTGCAAATGCCATAATTTCATTCTTATTTATGGCTGAGTAATATTCCATTGAATATATACCACATTTTCTTTATCCATTCATCTGTTGAGATTGGTTCCATAGCTTAGCTATTGTGAATTTAGCTGCTATGAACATTGATGTGGATGCATCACTATAGTATACAGATAATTGCCATTCTCTAATTGCTAGAACATTTTTTTTCATATAGTTTTTTTTTTTCTTCTGGAAGTGCCTGTTTGTTTCCTTTCCCCATTTATTGATTGAGTTATTTGTTTGTTTGTTTGTTTGTTTCTTTTGGTGTGTTTGAGTTCTTTATATATCCTGGAGATTAGTGCTTTTTCCGAGGTACAATTGGCAAAAATTTTCTCCCATTCTGTAGGCTCTCTCTTCACATTCTTTTCCTTTGCTGTGAAGAAGCTTTTTACTTTGATACCATCTCATTTATTGATTCTTGATTTTACTTTTTGTGCTTTAGGAGTCTTATTGCTGACAGGATGGAGATTTGGGCCTATTTTTTCTTTTAGTAGGTGCAGGGTCTCTGATCTAATGCCTAGGTCCTTGATCCACTTTGAGTTTTGTGCAAGGTGAGAGATAGGGGTCTAATTTCATTTTATTATATATGGAATTCCAGTTTGCCCAGCACAATTTGTTGAAGAGGCTATCTTTTCTCCAGTGTATGTTTATGGTGCCTTTGTCTAGTATGAGATAACCGTATTTGTGTGGATTTGTCTCTGTGTCTTCTGTTCTGTACCATTGGTCTTCATTTTTGTTTTGGTGCCAATACCATTGTATTTTTGTTACTATAGCTCTGTAGTATAATTTAAGGTCTGGTATTGTGTTGCCTTCTGCTTCACTTTTCTAATTGAGGATTGCTTTGGCTATTCTGGGCTTCTTATTGTTTCAAATGAATTTCATGACTCTGGTAAGAATTCTTAAGGAGGGATTTATAGTAAGAAATAAAGATAAATTACTGTGACTGTGTAAGGGGCTGTCACAGACTTGAGATAGACGTGCCCCTCCCCACTCAGAAGGCCCATCCTTGGTTCCTAGAATGGCAGGAAAGCTACAAAGGGACTGCCCTTGTGGAACTTGCTGATACTCTTTCATAGAGGTTATGGGGATGCCATCCACAGGTAGGTGCCAAGGCTTAGAACTTGCTCAATGCCTGGGCAACTGTGGACCACGGGGCATTGCCATGGCCAGGCCCTGGGGAAGTTTGCAGAAACTCTGTATGTGGCCCAGTAAGGCAGCCCTGGCTACTTCAGTGGACCAAGATGAAGACTGGCAGCAGGCCTTTAGGCAGCTTCCCTGAGGAACCTTGGCCTTGGAATGTGAGGGGACTGGAGAGGTTGCAGAGAGCAGCAGCTTGGATTAGAGTACAGCCTGCATCCACTAGGCTCTTGGTTACCCTCCACTGAGAGATGAAGAAAGTGTGGGGCATGCCAAGTCTAGCAGAAACCTGGAGGGACCAAACAGCAGAGAACACAAACACACATGCACATACACACCAAGGCCAGCCCCCTTCTCCTCCAGTACCCTCTACCAGCAAGGCAGAACTTAGTTCCTCTTCCCACACTCTTTGTTTCCAGATCACAGATGAAGTGCTTGTTTGGGGTA